TCATATATTGTCTTTTTGCGGCTTAATATTCACAGACACGCGTTTTGATTCAAGTGTACTGACCTACTTTTGATTTATTCGTCCAAAATGTGGCATATTCCGTCTGCATTAGGCTATAGGACTTCCGTTTTTATGACTGGATTCTACAAACCAGTGTGTGTTTTCCGGATCGCGGAAATTATAGGGCCGTATGTCTCAGAGTAGTCAGTGCAATTTGGGAAAGAAATCAATTAAATCTGTATGTGGATGTGTGTAAATATTCAAATGTAATCCCCTTTGTAATCGTTAACATTTTCATAAGTAACTGTAATTTAATTACACATTTTTTCTTAGTAACTGTAACTGATTACAGTTACATTTATTTTGTAATTAAATTACGTAACACCGTTACATGTAACTAGTTACTCCCCAACACTGCCTACGGGTGATGTCACGGACACTACGTCCATGTTTTTATACAGTCTATGGTTTCGCCATGTCATAATCTGTGACACTGACACGATATAGAATTTAAACCTGAAAAAAAATCCAGTTTTCTACTAAAATGATTAATCATGACTGTGCTGAGAATGAATTTGCTTAAAGTAAATACTGTTAAATGTTGATCATGATTTAAAGTGTTTTTCAGTGACTATCAGTACTGCAGTATCACCTTAATGAGGAGCAGCTCATGTGTTCAGACATTTACAGATCACATGAACTCACAGCAGCAGCAGACAGTAAACGCTTCAAATTGAAAAATATCAATTCTCTTAAATCATGACCATACATGATATTAAATTGACGAATGTCAACAGTTTTGCTTGTAATTAATGAAATAATAGTTTTCCCTGAATTTTATTTTTGATGTTACATGAATTATTAAAATTGCAAAATTCACAGTTTCAGATGAGATTCACGTATGATCTTACCACAGTCCCTCCAGTTTACAGTGAGGATTTTCCAGTACAGCAAATAGCAGCTTCACTCCTACATCTCCTAGTTTATTTCCATTTAGATCCAGTTTTCTCAGGTGTGAGGGGTTTGATCTCAGAGCTGAAGCCAGAGCAGCACAACCTTCATCTGTGACGCCACACTTACTCAACCTGTAGAGAACAATGACACACTCATTAGTCTCTCTGTTTGTCTTAAAGATTACTAATAAAGCATCTCTGTATGATATAATGTTGCTTATATTCATCTGATCATGTTCACACTAACAGTGTTATAGATGGAGACAGACACTGAGAAAAGATTAATTTGATATATAAATGTGAAATAAAAGCCCAGTATCTACGTTTCTCAGCTAGAAGTCACTTATTCAAATCAACATAGGCATAGCTTGATGACGACATGAATGAGTGTGGAAACATGGGAGTTGTCGACAGCTTTCCAACAGCTGATGGAAAGCAATAAAACAGGAGTTTTATTAATGTGTTATTATTAACTGTGAAATTAAGCAAGTCGGACCAAAAGCCGTGGGAGTGGAAAGTGAGAGACCGATTCCTGCACGACACACCGGCCACAAGTCCTATGAAGGAGCTCCGGAGCTTTTATTATGCTTGTATACCACAGTCGGCCGCTGCCACTACTTTTGTTTTGTTGTTTAGGTTTATTTTATGATTAAAGTTATGTTTATCATCTATCTCATTCTTCCCTGAACTTGAACTTTGCTACAGTTACGTTGGATCTCTTAAAATCACATTATTTTATTTCATTTTAATGAAATAGCTGCAAATGCTTAATTACTACTCATACTGGTCACTTTATTTGACTTATTATAATTGTGAGGTAAAGCAAGTTGAAACACCAAGACATCCAGCTGGCAAACGGCCAAGTTGGCGCCGGCACTTTCAGCAGCACTCAACAATAGCCAGGCCAGGCTGGACAGATTAGTAGTAAGTGAGTGATAATAGGGCAACAAGTGTATTGGTGCACAAACAATAAAACAAAAACAGACATTTACAGCGTCCCGCACAAGAGTGGGATAAAGCATGTAAATAAATGCAACATTTGTAAGTCGCTTTGGATAAAAGCCTCTGCTAAATGACTAAATGTACATGAAATTAAATGTATTCATGTGAGAAAGCGTAGAGACTTAGCAGCAATCATGTTACTGAAATGACTAGACTACCAAACTAGATAAGCCATAGCAATGGTTGTTGCTGATTAGGGCTGCAACAAACAATTATTTTGATAATCAGTTAATCTAACACATTTGATAATCGCTGGTTAATCAGTAGACATTTATTGATTATTCAGCTTTTGCAGTTAGTTTAAATATTGAGTTATACATATTCTAACAAATAAATTAAGGTAATCACTTCAGCTTTTGAAAGTCATATTATGTAATTACAGTTATACAATTAATTTATACAAATAAATATATTTGGCACACAAAATGAGATGGCAGAGAAACTCTTATTCACCATTTAATTAGCTTTATGAAAAAGTAGCTGAATGACACATCATTCTGCCTAACATCTCTTTTTGTAAGTCATATGGATAAGAAACCAAATAAAGGTTAAGTGTTAAGACATTTTATTTTTGGATAAACTATTTTATTCACAACATAATCTCTCTTAAAATACCATATAGGGTTATGATAATCAAAACAGTCTTGAGCTAGATCAAGCTCTGATCTCTGCAAACCAAACTATTAATTTAATTAAATGTTTTCCCCCCCACTAATAAACAGATTTTATCATTAGCTAGCTCCACACTGGAGAGCTGCTTTATAACAGACAACCAAGTTGTAATTCTAACTGAAAGTGACACTGACTCTGGCTTTTCATGTTTAATACTGTAAAGCTGCTTGATTTAAGGCTATCTATTCCCCCCCACTAATAAACAGATTTTATCATTAGCTAGCTCCACACTGGAGAGCTGCTTTATAACAGACAACCAAGTTGTAATTCTAACTGAAAGTGACACTGACTCTGGCTTTTCATGTTTAATACTGTAAAGCTGCTTGATTTAAGGCTATCTATTACACAAATAAACGTGACGTGACTTTACTGGAGTACTAAACTGCAGAGCTCATGCAAACATCCATAGCGCTGTAATCGGGGGCTGTTTCATAAAACTAGTTTACCTTTTTTATCTGACTTATTGTCACTTGATTTGGCTTCTGAAAGCTCAGTCACTCTGGCAGCTTATGCTGGAAAGTAACCTGGTCCGGAGCAGACTAACTGTCAGGCTAAGCTGAGCTCCTCTAACACTGACCAATAGGAATGCACTGATATTACAGCGCTGACTCTCTCACAGACAACTAGTTGACTTTATTATTAGTCCAAAAAAATTCAACTTAAATAATAAAAAAATAAAAATAAAAAAAGGCTACAACCAACTAAGGTATTATGCCCAAAATGCAATGACCTTTTTTTTTAAGATATATGAAAACATTTTAACACAGTTGCCACTTTCACATTCAGTTGATCAGCAGTTTCTAGCCATGCAGCCTTTCTCTGGGGTTTTATGACAGCTGTACTTTATGGTTATTAGTAGAACATTAAAACATTACAATCTAAAATTGCTCTTTAAAGAATTCAAGCATTTAAAATACTAAATTAAAAGTTAAAAACACTGAACTAAAAATGAAAATAATAGAAATCAGACTACATTTTAACTGATAAGAGGAACACACATTTCACTCATTTGAGCTAGTAGGGCTGTATTAGCCAGCTTACATTTGATTTTCAGTTACTGCTATGATAAAAATACACTTATATGCAGGATTAAAATTCTACATGTGTCACATTTAATGTCCAACAACAAATATTTTAGCAGAATGCATATTTTATTCAGAATTATTGCGTTATTATTCTATTGCGTTCCATCTGTTCCAAGCCTCGCCCACTCCTGACAGCAAAATGGATATGTTTCCATGACTTTCTAACATTTCCAGATGAAAAATACATCTTGCGCTACAGCGCCACACTGGACTAACCGCGTTATTCCAGACTCTTACATTAGGTCATATGAGATCAAACGACTACTCCACAACAAAAATATTTGTTGACAATTTTTTATTGTCGACTAATCGTTTCAGCCCTATTGCTGATGCCCAGATAACATTACGTAACAACAGAGGTGGAAGTAAGTCGCACATGTGCAAGTCACAAGTAAGTCTCAAGTATTAACCTTCAAGTCTCAAGCAAGTCCAAGTCCATTTTTGTGAGAATCAAGCAATTCAAGTCAAGTCGTAGCTTGGGTCAAGCAAGTCACTGTCCAGTCATACAAATATCTGATGATTTAACTGAATTTATATATTAAAATAACTTAAAACTACAGTAGTTATGGACTATGGGAGTTTTATTTGCAACAAAAAAAAATTGCAATATGCATTTTTACTCAAAAAGTGTCCACATACAGCTGAGTTGTTAATACAATAAAAATATAAAATAAATAAATAAATAAAAATTAAAACTACATAGCATAAGATATAAATGTAACTGAAATTAGTCCAACATAAAAGCATGGAAAGTATTTAGATACAGCCGTTTCAATGACCATGAAAAAGTACTAAACAAATCAAGTACAATGGTTTCTATGCCACGGGTTTTATGACAGCTGTACTTTATGGTTATTAGTAGAACATTAAAACATTACAATCTAAAATTGCTCTTTAAAGAATTCAAGCATTTAAAATACTAAATTAAAAGTTAAAAACACTGAACTAAAAATGAAAATAATAGAAATCAGACTACATTTTAACTGATAAGAGGAACACACATTTCACTCATTTGAGCTAGTAGGGCTGTATTAGCCAGCTTACATTTGATTTTCAGTTACTGCTATGATAAAAATACACTTATATGCAGGATTAAAATTCTACATGTGTCACATTTAATGTCCAACAACAAATATTTTAGCAGAATGCATATTTTATTCAGAATTATTGCGTTATTATTCTATTGCGTTCCATCTGTTCCAAGCCTCGCCCACTCCTGACAGCAAAATGGATATGTTTCCATGACTTTCTAACATTTCCAGATGAAAAATACATCTTGCGCTACAGCGCCACACTGGACTAACCGCGTTATTCCAGACTCTTACATTAGGTCATATGAGATCAAACGACTACTCCACAACAAAAATATTTGTTGACAATTTTTTATTGTCGACTAATCGTTTCAGCCCTATTGCTGATGCCCAGATAACATTACGCAACAACAGAGGTGGAAGTAAGTTGCACATGTGCAAGTCACAAGTAAGTCTCAAGTATTAACCTTCAAGTCTCAAGCAAGTCCAAGTCCATTTTTGTGAGAATCAAGCAATTCAAGTCAAGTCGTAGCTTGGGTCAAGCAAGTCACTGTCCAGTCATACAAATATCTGATGATTTAACTGAATTTATATATTAAAATAACTTAAAACTACAGTAGTTATGGACTATGGGAGTTTTATTTGCAACAAAAAAAAATTGCAATATGCATTTTTACTCAAAAAGTGTCCACATACAGCTGAGTTGTTAATACAATAAAAATATAAAATAAATAAATAAATAAAAATTAAAACTACATAGCATAAGATATAAATGTAACTGAAATTAGTCCAACATAAAAGCATGGCTCTCTAATACAGAGAAAACCCAACCGATTTCATCAGAGATTGTGGAGAGTCGAGTCCAGATGTCAGTAAATTATTATTTTCAGTGTGTATTTGGTTTAAAAGCAGGAGTGTTATACTGGATGGTGACTGAAGGTGTTTTAGATTATGCGCTGGTCTAGTTATTCTGAATGGATCCATATAGTACCATGTAAGGTCAAGACAGCAGGTCTAGTGGTGCTTATTTATATTAAAAAGGTGGTGGGGATGGGGGGAGGGGGGATACATTCGGGATAAATTGATAGTCATGATTTTGTTTTTCATGATTCTCCTATGAACAGACAACTAAACAAAATAGCATGTAATGTAGGCTACTAGAGGTTCTGACAAAATGTTAATTGCTGCAGTCTATTTTTTTTAAATATGAATTATTGCAAAATCTGCACCTCTTCTGTGGCTATTTTTAATTTCATAATGATTCTTACTCCGTGAAGTCAAGCAGCAGAAGTTAAGTGACAATATGCAAATACTACTGGCCCATTTTGGGGTGAACTAAATA